AATCTACAAAGGTGCAATTTTTCCTGCTGTGATCTCAAAATTGACAATATAGTAACGTCCTCAAGTGCCGTGTTTAGTCACGTTAATGTGCAGAATCCTAATTTCTTAAGGACGATATTCTGGTGTGGGCCAGGGATGCTTGGCCCTGATCTGCCGCCCAGTGGTTATACCTTTAAATCATCAAGTATGTGAACAATACCACGCATGTCACAGCTGCTTGTGAGGTATATGCTTTTAAAAAAAATCAAATATGTTAGAAGCCTATCGCTCTGCGCAGCCTCATATGCAAGGGCACGGGAAGGGGGGTGCGGAGGATGCTGCAGCACCCCCTATTGACAGGGAGGAACACAGTGTTCAAATTACATGTGCAGACTGCATAATGGGCACCATTGTTACTATATGACAACATAAAACACAGCAGGTTTGTGCTGAATGTAGAGGATACAGCCTAATTATGTGACGTCAGCCGCTGTTCGCACTGTTATGTCACAATTGTAGTAACTACATCGGTGTGATGTGCGGATTGGCTCTGACAATATCTGAATAATCATGTACGCACAAATCATCCTACGGCCCCCAACCTAACTAATCATCTTCCCAGATTTATCCCACCTCTACCTGTCCTATTAACTTTCCAGGTGATTTCTTTTGTCGTTGATGTATGAGTGTTTTCTTTATCGGTTTAACCTACCTTAAAGATTTGAGTGGCTGCCGTCAGTCATTTTAAACGTTTGTGCCCCATGCGTAAATGCGCATAGCGTCTCTTTTAATGGGCAGACGCTTCACCCTATTTCACCCACCTGGAAAGTCACAAAATGTTTTGCCCAATGCTCTGCCCGCAAACAGCAGTGCTCTCAGTTATTGCATGCATAAGGTTTTCATGTGCTTCATGTGTTTCCCCAGGTGTGGACACTGAGCGTGGAACAGTTTTTCAAGTTCAAAGTTTAAATCAGCTGCGCCTGCATGCCGTTCATTTAAGTTGATCGTGTTATCAATGTTTTTTATTCGAATGATTCAATTTATACATACATTCATATAATTACGGAGGTATGGACCTTGGTGACCTCATACAACCATAACCACTCTGTGTTTAAGGAAAGTGTGTCAGTGTGCCCACACACAGTCGTGTCATGCGCTCAGTGTTGGGCAAGTCGGTCAGGAGCAACTGACAGCAGCCTCTCTGACCATGAAAGTAATTTGTTAAAGCACAAACACATGGCCTATAAAAATATTTACGCATGATCAATCAGGGGAGCTACCGTTATGTTAAGAGGAGTCGAGCTCCCCCCGTAGTTTGCTCTCTGCCTTCAATCTCGACCATCAGATTTCCGCAACAGGAAATAACGTTACTCTTTACTCATGGATTTGTTTTCTGGTGCCGAAATGTTTCTAGGTGTATAAAAAAAATCACTTCGGGTTGAAAATGAGTTGTAATGTGAGTTACTGAGATTGAAAAGGGTGTAGGCCTAATATTACTGATTTATTTTTAGTAATACCTTATATAACTGCATTAAAGCAAAATACATTACTGTAATTGCGTAACTTTTGTAAGCGCGCATTTCTACTCTGCAGCACCCCCAAGCAAAAATGTCTTCCCGTGCGCCTGCTCATATGTGCTACTTAACTGGTGATTTTACCACAATGCACATGAACTAGAAAAGCAGTGATTTCAGTTCAATTTTATTATCAGACTCAGGGTCCATTTGTGTGAGAGTGTAAACGGATGATAATAGGAGGCAGGACGAAAAGAAAGGATGAGAGATGGTTACTGGCTAATCAGGAGGCGGTGTCCCTGGTTTGTAAGCCAACAGCATAGAAGCGTCTAGACAGATGTCATGGGTCTTGGCAGCAGAGACAGGGACATCAATGTCCACATGACAGCATGACAGGAAGTGAACTCCAGACTGGAGAAAAGGACAAAGGGAAATGGATAGTAGGACGAACATCCTGCAAGATGGAAGAGGGTCACTTTAACCGGAGGTCACGATGGGTTGAGAGTGACAGGAGAGAGGAAAATCACATGCGAGATGACTTTGAATAAACATCATCTGATGTCAACACCTGCTTTATGTCTCCAGATAATTAACTGTCACATGTCCTTGTAGGTTTTTACATTTCCATAATCATTTACAATTGCCATTCAAGAAGACATTATCATGGTCAGTGCCATTAAGCCGCGTTTCGACCAAAAGTACCGGGGACTTTTAAGTCCCTGGATCTCTTTTCAAGGAACTAAAAGGTTGCTTCAGCCCACTGTTGTGTGCGTTTCCACCGTGATCTAAAGAGCCAGCTAACCAGCTGATATAGGCTGTAGGCCTGTACGCCATACAAAGCGATGAACAGGCATTATTTGTAACCACTATCCATGAGCCAAATTTATAAATGAACATTAGATTTGATCAGAATATAATGAAAAACTATAGGCTATGCTTGACCATTAAAGCAGCTTTTTTTGTGTGGGGAGTATAATGTAGAGACACACACGATAAAGTTTGTTACACATTGAATAACAAAGATAAAGCCATTAAGTTCTTACAATAACTCCAGCACAAAGAAAGCAACACAAAAATAAAATCGCAACAGGTTGTAAGGTTATTAAAACTTTTCCAGCTGACAAGAGCTGCAGATCAGCTGCAGGACTCACGTCTGTGCCGCCTGAGCGTCGGAGGAACAGGATGTTTAACAAGCTTTATTACCTAATGTTGTAGTACTCGAGACTGGTCTTGGTCTTGAGACTAGTCATAAGACCACTTTTTGATGGTCTTGGTCTTGTCTCGGACTCGATCGCATTTGTACTTGGTTTGTCTCGGTCTCGGACATTGAGGACTTGGGATTTTATTCCAAGACCAATCAAGACTTTGGGAATATCAATAAATTGCTTTTGCATTCTCTGATTTATTTGTTAACTTCCTAACTTTCAATGGATGTAAAACATATTGCTTCAAATGCAACCAATGACACTAATAAAAAATATGTTGTTCCTGTTAACAGCTGTCCCCTCTCCCCGCGATGGGTAAGCATGGAAATGGAGTGTTGCATAAAGATATTTACATTGATTTCAGCTCTTTTGTATGTGGGTGTTCTAATGGGAATGTGGATCTTTCAGATCAATTTGAGAAGTACCTATGATCTCGTTCCACATTTTATTGTGGGGAACCGGTCTTGGTCTTGAATTGGTCTCGGCCTCCCTCGGTCTCGACTTGGTGTCAGCCCTTAAAAATCTTGGTCGTGTCTCGGTCTCGACTTGGTCTTGCCCTCCCTCGGTCTTGGTATCGACTTGGTCTCTGCCCTTAAAAGTCTTGGTCTTTATCTCAGTCTCGATAAACTCTGGTCTTGGTCTTGACTTGGTCTCTGTTTGGGCGGTCTTGACTACAACACTATTATTACCTGCTGTAATCAGCTGTTCCGCTTGTTTTGGAGAAGAAGAGACCGACTTCAGCTCCGTGTAAAAACGTCCTGACTGATGAAAACTTAAAACAACCACTCTGGACCCAGTATTTAGCGTAACTCTATCAGCTGTTTGCTGTAAACACACTGCGGCATGCTGGCTGCTGTTTACGAGCAATATATTTAATACCGACGTATGATCTCAAGCGGACATCGGCGAGACTTGTGTGCTATTTGACGGTTGGTTGTGATTTATTGGTTTGTAAACAACGGTGGAAAAGAGAGGAGCAGTCGTAGAAAAACACCCGACATTCTCCTGTTAAAGCCAGTAGCCTCTACTCGCCCATTCTTGTTTCAATGTACAAAGAGGTTTTGTCTGTGACTTCAGAAAATCTGTTGGAATATACTAAAAACACAACACCAACACTCTAGGAAACAATGTTTAGGCCCATTTCACAAGACTGCACAATAAACACACCAATATAAAGTAGGAAACACTAGCCTACTCTATAAATCCTTCAACAAACTGTCTTGGCTCATCAGTGTGTTATCTGCATGGATTCTAATGAGGTCTTAATTTGAGTGTGTCTGCATCATTAAAAGGGCCCGCTGTTTGATGTCACAGCTGTCAAATAAGTCTTTCATCCCAACATGATGACAGCAGATGTGTGGCATTCGTATGTGCACTTGTACATGCATTTGCACATGTTAAGGGATTATTTTGCAACTTTATGTTTTTGTGCGACACACAAATGCACTTACTATAAAAGGGAGAGAAAAGCAAATGTAGTGAATGTCTTGGCTGATTCCATGCTGCTTGGTGTTTAGGCAATGAGTGGAAAGATTTGGATTGAGGAATAGAGGTGTAGGGCCAGAAAGGCATCAGAAATGCTTACCAAAATACTTAACCATCCCAAACAGGTCTTTAAAAACAGGGCAGTTCAGAGCCCTGGCATCTCCTCCTTGGGTAGTTGGCTGTGTAGGCAATCATGATGACCAGCAGCACTGGGAGCTTACTAGCCTATGAACGGTGTCATTCTTTGTAATGACATCAGAAATTTCTATGGGAGCCTGCAGGTGTCAAACGTGACTTCAGACAAGGAGGAGGGATTTGTTATAAAATGTCCTTTTACAAGACAAACCAAGGGGATTAGCGTTCATCACGTCATAGTGTGATTAACAACACCCATGTCCTTCCATTAGCCTGACCTTGTTAAGTGTGTGTTGTGTGATTACACGGTCTGCCACTATCATGTGTTTCCACCATTACTGACTACAGCGAGTGTTTGCTGAAATCTTCACAGCTGTTGCTGAGATGTTGTAAGCACTTTTTGTTGTTGGTTACTGTTGTTGTTGCCAGTGGAGTGACCTTAAGGCTGCCCGGCTACACTTGCATTCCTGCTCTCTTAAGTGTGAAGGCTGGTCATGTTCTACTCACTTACTCTCTCTTGCTCTACGTCTCTCTCTCTCTCTCTCTCTCACTCATATCCCTGGCCGCTATAATTAGAGTAATTGGAATCAGATGATGCTGGCTTAATTGGAAAGGAATGCAGACGGGGCAACAGGGCTTTTCCGCACGGGAAAATCGGCTGGAAGAGAGTACACGAGACAGTAGGGAGGCATGGCAGAGGACGAGGTCTGCAGTCACGCATTTGGCCGCTCTGGGTTTAATGAAATTGGCAGGATTCTGTCGTAAACACACAAACAAATTACAAGGCCTGATGGAGTCTGAATGCTATCGTATGTTGGCAATACTGGAGGTATGATGTCAGGTAAGGCAATACACGTGAACTAAGTTTGGCAAGACATTCAAATAACAGAAGGATTATTTATTTACAGTAATGAGTCAAAGTTGAAATTCAATCTCCTCATCTGGCGGTAGCTTGGGCTTTGGGTAGAGCAATGCACAGACATTTCATAGTGAGGCTTAGGGGGCCACAGGGTGATAACAATACATATTGCATGATGAAAGTTGGATACACACTTGCCAACAAAGAGCCAGAATATTAAAGGTTAGAATCCATCGGTAAGAGGGCAAGTTTCATTTAAACTGTGCCAGAAGCAAATTCTCCTTCCAAGTTTAAAGTGACTGTAAGAGAGAGCAAGAGAGAGAGAGACAGAGATGTAGAGGAGGTGGCTAGGCTGGTTTCATTCTACTGAAAGTCACAGTTGAAAGTCAGCCTGATTGTTTGCTGTTTGTGCTCTGCGACCACTGATACGTGGGAAGAGTGTTAGATTCCCTCCAGGCACTGGCAGCCTAATGAAGGAACAAGACACACACCTGCTTGAAGAGCTGGGACTTCCTCATCAAACGCTGCAGTTGGCCTCCTTATCAAAAGGGGGCGGTGTTGCCTATAATGGGCGTGCTTGTGAGAGTGTGTGTATGTGTTCTTTGTTTATCTAGTTAAAGAGCTGGAACTGCATGAAGTCAACAGAGGTTGATTTAATTATCCTGAAAATCCCGCAATCTCTGCACAACTCATTTTCTGCCACCAGAGTTTGCTCTACGTGTCTGGCGAGCCTGATAGAGAGGTTCGTTTGTCAGGTTCAAGCTCTCTATCTCCAGATACATCTCATTACTCTTAACATGGAGGAGCTAATCAGGGAAGGCTCGGAGAAAAGCATGCCCCGATCTCTCTGTCTCTCACACTCATTCTGTCTGTCCACGTGGGCTTGAAATGTGTGTATGCAGCTCTTTTGTTTTGCCTGCCGCTTGCTGCCGGACTGCTCAGAGCCTTTGTCTTCCTGCGATGCTCCCCAGATCTCAGTTCGTTACAGAGCGTAATTAGCGTGGCGCGAGCGGGCTCCCCAGCTGACACACAAAACTCATTAAATTCCACTAGCCTGCTTTTTGCTGGCACACACTCCTCACCCCATATTAATCTTCCTACCAACTTTAATTCTCTGAGAAAATGTTTATGGGGGAATAACTGCTTCTGCCCTTACATGCAATAACAGTGTGCCTTTTTATTGTGTTTTTTTTTTCTTAAATTCAATGCTGTTTTGTAATGTTGTGATCCAAGGTCAGGTCTAATGAGTTTGGCTAATCAGATGCAAGGTGCCACAGTGCCTCCCTGATGAGTGCAGCAAGTTGAAGATGAGACCAGTGAACTTTCTCTCTGTCCCCCTCTCTGTCTTTGTCTATCTCTCTGCGTGCCTGCCTGCATCTCCAGACAATGACCAGACTCATTTCCAGACTCCCTCCCGCAGTCCCCCTCACTACTAACAGGACCACACAAACAAGGTCATTCAGACTGCTGTAAGAGGAAGATGTATCATTTACTGAGAGATGGATGACATGATGTCTCCGCAAAAAGCTTTTATTTTGACCAGAAGTATTACTGCAACCCTCCAGCTCTCTTTTCCCCTCCCCTCTAATTGAACAAGGAGGCAAAAGACAACTGCCACTTGAGCTGCAAAGGAAATTGCCTCTTCAGTATGGCGGAAAATACACAAACCATTGTTGAAAAATTGGTGTACTCATTCAACAACCTGGCCTAAGATGGCTTAGACAGACTGAGCAAACTGGAGATAGGCATCCTTGATAGCCTATCTTGCCAATGGTGCAAAGGGCAATAAACCTCCCCCATTACTTCCCATAAAGTTCCTATTTGGCACTAATATACTTCAGGTTCCCTTTAAAAGACAGCAATAAAGATGAGTTTAAAAGCATGTACTGTTCAGAGTGAAATATCTCAACAACTACTGGATGGATTGGTATGAAATTTTGTACAGACCATTCGTGATTACCAGGTAATGAATTCTCCTGACCCCCCTGAATTTTCCTCAAATGGCACGATGATGTTGAAATGTGTGGTTTTGAGGGAAATATGTCAAAAACCATTGGATAGATTGTCATGAAACTTTGAACAAACATTCATGTCCTCCTCAGGATGAATTGTAGGAACTTTGTGATCCCTTATTTTCTATCTAGGACCATCATCAGGTCAAAATGGTCAGGTCAAAATGTTTATTCCTTAGTCACTATTGTAGTGTCTATCATGGTTTTTCCACAGTATTGTTAAAATGCGCTAAAAATGTTCAAAAAGTACTGATACACAAGTTTTATATTAAAAACCACAAATAAAGTGAAAAACACTGTACACTTTTTGTTTGCATACATTAAAATAACATCCAATACTTTATTTTTACATAAAAAAATTAGTCTTCAGAAAACAGTGATAGTAATTGCAATGAGCCCAACAACTGACATAAATACAGAGGAGTCTTATATAGGACTTTACAGCATTGCTCCTGTTGGAACACTTTTACAACCAATTCGACCTCTGCTGGATCACTGTCACTTCTTCCCGCCATGCTTTCATTGACCCAAGCATGCGCGTCTGTGCCTGGGAGACTATTGCTATTGTTTGATGCAGTATTTGTCCTGAGTTTTTCATAGTGCGGTAATCAAATTTTTAATGATAATTAAAATCTGAAACAGTAATACTAACCGTGGAATTATCATTAAACCGTGGTTTATCATTAAACCAGTAACCATTTCATCCCTAGCTAGCATCGCTGTACACTCTTAGTCTTGTTAAAGTGTAAGCATGGACATAAAGGTGGGTAACAAAAACATTTTTATTTTTCAAAGGTTGCACATAAAATGTCACATTTTGTTATAGTAATAACTTATTAGATATACTATTATTAGATGTACATATCTGCCCTTTGAAACATGTTGCACATACAGGTGATATTTTGGTCAGTAACAGTAAATAAAATCAAGTTTGACTTTCACTTTTTAGGACTACCCCAGACAATACTTTTTGATTGCAAAGTTAAAAGTAGACCCGGAGAGCCAGAGTAGTAGAGCACAGTCTCGTACGGTACAGTGTTGTGTGTGGTATGACTTTCAGGTCTACATCAGTGCTGTTGAGGTAGAAAGAGCAGTGATGTAGCCCAGCAGACTGACAGCTCCTGCAGAGCTCTTGGGCTAGACGAGTGTAGCCAGCGCTCCCGTGGGTCCAACACCTGCCAGATGCAGCAGGATGTGAGCGGGTGACAGCAGGGTATCCGAACCCCGTGTATCCTCCTCAGCCATCCCAGAAAGAAAAACCTCACCCAGGCTGGTGGAGAGACAGCTACCACTGGGACTTCCACATCGCTGCCTAGCATTAATTTAACCTACTTGACGGGTGACTGGCTGCATTAACTTGACATTTGCTTGTGCTCGTCATGTCAACTGGCAGAGGATACCAGCAAATTAGCAGCACCATCATGGTGTCACAGAGTTTATTATATATATATATATACATATATATACACACACACACACACACACACATACACCATATTATCTTTTCATTGCCTAGATGATGACTTTTTAATTAGCCATACAATTATCAGCACCATGAGCCGTGACCTTGAAAGGGTAGAGGCTGATAACAGAATTGAAAAATTAAGTAGAATTAAGTAGAACAGAATAGAGGAGCAGAAAGTAAACACTGCTTAACAATGTACTCAGAGGACAGCCTATAATAATCTAAATATATATCAACTGACATCAAAGCAAATATCTAAGAAAAAAAAAAAGTCCAGACTCCAGGATGTGAACTTCCACAATTCCCATGACTCCTGTTCCCCAGTCAAGTCCATTCAGTCCCATTAGCAAACTGCAGCTTTTGCTAATGTCTAAAGCTATCCAGGCAGGTAGCAGTCATCAGTTATGGTAATGGTTTCACCCAACTCTTTCAAGCCACACAGGCCGTAATACTGTCTGAAGAGCGCGATTGCGGGGTACAACCCTCCAGGGACTCATTAGTGAGGATAGGAGCTATTTGAAGGAGGTAGGGTTTGGGAGAGTGCAGGGAGAAACAGTGATTTTTTTCTTATTACCGTTTCCCTGTCCCAAAAAAAAGTTAAAAAAAATACACAGGAGTGTGAAGCTGTGAGAAGGCAGACTGGGACAAACTGGTCGACTGTGCTTGTTGTGGACAGCAGTAGTTGGCAAAGATGCCAGTGAGCTGAAGTAGCACCATAAGACCCAGGAGGGAAGCCTGGATAGAAAGAATGTGATGCGTTGGCAGGGTGCAAAGAAGACATGGAGAGAGAGAAAGAGCTCAAAAGAGAGAGAAAGTGAGAGAGTGTGTGGGAGTGGGAAGGGGGGGAAAGCCATAGGATGCCATCTCTTAGCTCAAACAGAAGCTCACAGCAAGATTCTGAGCAGGGTGCCATCACAGATGTGCTGGGACTGCACATGCTGACAAGTACATTAGACTTTGACTTCTGCTACGTCAATCGTATCCATGACGGCACTGAAACCATGACAGGGGGCTTCTGCCTGTCTAGATAGAACGAGGAAATCTTGAAATATCTTACCATTTTCAATTGGACCTGACTGGATTTGATAAGAAAGCTGTGAGAGCACTGAAAAAGTGGACACGGATAAGTTTTTCCCTCACACGTAACACTCTGTTATGCACACACAAGCAGTAGGAACATGTTAAATTCACCATGGATCATGTAGTGCATAGAAAGAACATACCATAACCAGAGGCTCACCCCCTACAATCCCCTTTACAACATAGTGAACTTTTACCTTTTTCAAACTGCCCATTTTGGAATACTGTTGAGCATGTGTCAAATATCTCGTAATATAATTCTGATATTGTTTTTGCCTTAGTTTGTGTCCCAATATTTCATCAGCTTTAATTGACCCAAATCCATACAAATGACTAAAAAGACATCCAAAAAATCCATTTTTCATTCCCATTTTGTCACATGCAAAGAAAAAAAAATCAGTAGAGTAGAAAGTGCCGTAGCGTGAGGTGTTCGTTAACTGGAAGATCTCTTCCTTTAAAAAGACCCCCAGCATTTACATTCCCCTAAACCCTTGCCTTTCATGCCAAGCCTGCTTTCAATATCAAAGCTCCTTTTGAGAGCCTCTGGTGGAATGATAACAGAGAGAAGGGGACTTTAGTGAAAATGTAAGATCTTGAAAAGAGGGAGAGATGAGGAGAAGAGAGACAGAGGGGGAGGGTGGGGGAAGGGAAGACAGCTTATCAATCGCCCCTTTAACTGACAAGTATTCTGAAGTGAGGTGGGTTTTATAAAATCTTTTTTTAAACATGCAGGGAAATGTGAACATGATGCCGAGAGCATGATAAAACATCATTAGGCATCCATGAAAGAGGCTCAGAGTTTTTGGTGACAATAGGATTCTTCTGTCAGATATGGTGAGGATTACACACAGTGGCAGGCTGAAATGACTTGTTATAGGTGGGCTATGCGATTCTAATCCAATACACATCTTCTCAAATTCAGCAAATCTGTCCTTATGGTCCGCTAGCTATCCACTGAGTGTGTGTGCTAAAAAATAAATAAATGTTTTTGTACACAGCACTGGCTCTGTAAATGGAAAACAAGAAAAGTGGCCAAACAAGACTATTCCAGCCATTCCAGTCATGATTTGTGTGTCATGTAATGTTAAATTACTTGCCCACGGACATTCTGCTTACTTTCTAGTTTGCCAACATATTTGTGATGCTAGCTATAGTAGCAGGAGAGTTGTGAGTATCGTTGTCTGGAGCTGGTGTGCTGGCTCTTAGCAAATGTTAGATACTTTCTGTGTGGTTGTTTGCTCTATATCATGGTATTTCTCATGGTATTGGAGTGGTGTACCTCACCTTAAAGGGAGAAGAACGCCTCGCTTTCTTTGTCCCTTGGATGACATGTGCATGCTTTTATGTGGCTGTGCATGTGTTTGAACATGAGTGCGTGCTGCTTTAAGTCTTGTGTCTTACAGGAATGTGTGCCAGCCGAGCGCACCTGGAAGCTGTTTGAGATAAACTGAGGCTGTTTGCGATTACTTCAGTGTAACATGCATGCCATTCTATGAACACATGTATGCATTTTTGTGAGAGTGTGTATGTGAAACTGTGTGGTCTGAAATGTAATTTATATGTACACATGTTCAGGTATTAAAGTAGACGAATAAAGAATATAAAACAAGCCACATAACCTGATAAGGGCAGTAATTGCAGCTTGTAAATAATGTAAAACACTGACAACATACCAATGAAGACTATTTCAGGGCCAGAGTAGTTGTGGATGTGGCCATGTTTACCGGCTACATTGATAAAAGAGAGTTTTGTTTTGTATCATATTACAAATGCGACTTCACTTGTCAGGCAGTGTTTGTCTTTGCATCCTCTCAGTCAAATGCAGAACAGGCAACTGCTGTTAGACAAAAGCAACTGTGCAACCATGTGGCAGTGTTTTGTTTTTGGTTATGTTTTGTTCTAATCTACTTTGTTCTGCTTGGTCCTGTCCAATCTCATCTTGTTTTGCTTCACTCCAGCCAACCTCTCTGGCCAAACTCTTGCTCTCTTATTAGCCATGTTTAAGGCTAATCAGTTTTATATTTATAGCCCCAAATCTCAGAGGACTTTACAATCTGTACAGCAAACGACATCCTTTCTCCTTAGACCCTTGGGTTGGATAACGAAAAAAATACTTAACATGGATAAAAAGGAAGAAACCTTAGGGAGAGCAAAAAAGGAAGGATAGTTCTTCCAGCACAGGGTGACATGTAATACATTAGGTACAGCCGTAGCAGAATTTCATTATTAAGGCTGCAACAGATTTTTATAGTTTTTCTAAAGTATTAAATAAAAAAACTAAAATATAAGTAGATTATCTTTGTCCTTATTTACTAGGTGTAAAGA